CGCAAATGAAACCAAGCTGGCCACGTGGTGTCCTTTGTCGAATGAGGCTCCATTTGTATACGCATTTAATGTTGTATGTATTTAAAGATTTACTAGCGGACAAACAAATTATTCTATTGAACCTCTTTATCTATGCTAAACTTGCCAAGCTCAAGGTCAGAATGTCCTGATGAACTTTTCGCAACGGTCTTAAAATAATGTTTGTTAATCTGTCGAATGCTGATTATATTTGTTGGCAAGCGATGCCGATAGATTGGTGATTTTGATTGATTGAAATAAACATCTGGTATAAAGCATGACGTCAGTGTTTATTGTTTATAATCTGTCGACCTAATGATAACTTCAAATGAAAAATAAACAAAGTAGGACAACTGCCAAAACGATCAAAAGAAATGATAGATACGCGCAGCTTGTTGTAAAACGAGGATAGAAAAACATCACGTTAGATATGTTTGCATGCACAAAAGAACAGAAAACTAATCTAGGTCACCTTGTCCAAGAGTAGAATAGGTTAGATGATCATGTTTGTATATCATGGTGGAAAATGTATGTCGTTAACTATTTGATCAAATATTTTTTCTTCCGCGTGATATAATACACGATCATTTGTTGAATATAATAGTTTGATCTGTACTATATAAAACGTAGTACATCAGTTAATCCTTGCTGAAATAAAAGTTTGTAAATTAAGCCATAGTTCTCAAAACTGTATCGACCTCATTATTAAAAAGCAAACAAATCAGTATAAAGGATACACATAATTTTGGAAGCATCCCTAAGCTGTGCTTAAAGATAAATGAATACAATTATATCATTGAAAATAATTAAGAAATTAAAGAAACTATCACGTCAGTCAAGTGTAATTTGCAATTTCCAACATCGGAACAATGTCCTAGTATGCAGAAATTGTCGATAAAATAACTTCATAGTAAAAATAAATGAATATTAGTGAGATTAAACATTAGACCGGAATTCGCTGAAAAAGATAGAAAATAAAAATATGTAAAATATTGACCAATGAATAAGTACGTAATGAAAATAAACAAATTGCTACATATGCATAAATTGTGAACATATTTCTACCGACCCGACGTGATCTGTCTTCAAATAGATGGGGATGACCTTAGCCGTCCGGAACTTACCCCCGACGTTGTGTTTAAAAACTGTACTTCTTTGTGGTGATGTAGACATTCATGTGTATAACCAGAGAGTAACAGAGTTTAACAGCAGGCTTTGTTCCGCCCTCATCGGGAGTGGTTTTTGTAAATTTTGGTGACATGACCGCATGGCAGATTTAAAACGACTGTATGACTCGGATGGGGTTCATTTTAGCAACAACACCCATATTTCAAGTCTGTCCGGGGTGGCGTTTTATTTGGACTGAAAGCTAGTGATATGGCCCCACAATTTTAGATCGACTGAGTAACGTTACGATGACTTTTCTTCGAGTTACCTCCCTTACAGCAGTAGACTTAGTAATTCACTTCACGTCATATCATGAGAGACAATATCTTTGATACATTTTAGTGTTTTTGAAATATTGTTGCATATGTTCAGTTTTAAGCAATTAGTACCAATGAACATTTTGCAAGTTTATATATTTCATAAAACCTTGCCACATAATTTTAATCAATTCATATCAGTAATGTAATACATTTGTATACACTATTAATCAAATTTATCATGATCTTTATATCTGGTAAATTTAGATATTGTAATGGCATCACTGCAACTATAGTTTTATTTTCTTTTAAAATAGTATTGACCCATGTGGGTGTCATGATCAATAGTAAAACAGAAGAAATATATATATATCATTGGCCTTTGGTTTCAGTTCTTTTTTCTCTGGCCCAATAGTGGTTTCAGTGTGTCAAAAACCTTCTTCATTCAGATTTGTCACTGGCCCATAGTGGTTTCAGTTCACTCGGGTCAATGGGTCAGTTGTGTTACTGGCCCATGGTGGTTTCATGTGGGTTTTTTTTATTATGCATGCATTGTACAGCAGCGTGGCTCATACCGGTGCTTACAGTAATGTACTCACTATTGCCAATACTTCCTACTTGTAGGTAGTCGGTATATATGGTATGTTCTCCCTGTCTGTCATGCTGGTCATCATGGAGTCAAAATAATTATTATTTACTATTATACGAATTTACAGTGTTGATTACGTTTTACATCTTTGGGTACATTTGTATATACTCCCAATGCTATAACATTAATATTTCCTTCACTATTTTGTATGTGGCTATGCTACTAGATCTATAATTTTATTTACATGTCACTATATACTTAAACAAATGTAATGTCAAAATATCTGCACATATATCCTGTCATGCACTTTAGACACCAGACAGTATGCGTCCGAGACGGAAGGCGGTAGCTAATCACTCTACAATCCCCAAAAGGTCTCGGTTGGCTGAGAGTCACAGATACTGAAGATACAGCTACCTCTGCCCAAGCACGTGCCCAAACCAGACAGGTACCAGCTACATTAGAAGTCCAAGAAAACAGTGTCGCCACTGGGCGAATGATACCCGGGGCGGAAGTTGAAAAAGTGTACAGATGACTGTGCAACAAGGTGTGGGACAGTTTATTTGAAGAAATAATTGGATTTTTTCGAAATCATATGTTACTCAGATCAAGAATTAATAAAAGAACTTTTTATCCAAATTTTTCAGAATATAAATAAAAATTGCGACCACTTCCTAAAAAGTGAGCCAATTTATCGCCACTCACAAATGTTTTGGTGTCAATTGTCAGTTGTAGAATGGATGAGACATATCAGCAGACAGAGCCTCGCAGCATGGAGATAGTTATAATCACTTTACAGATACATGTATAATTCTATAGAAGGTATTGGGAGGAGGTCAAGAGAAAGCACATGAACAGTTAAGATCATCAGCACAGTATTTAGGTTGAGCAGTAAAAGCAAAAATGAGAGTTTGTAAAAACAAACGTGTTTTTGCATGAACTACCCATCTTGCTTTAATTCACTGTTTTTGTTTACATTAGCGGGCTAGCTCATCGCCAAGCCCCCTAACCCATAAAAGGCGATCGTCACATCCGGGTTCATAGATCAGAGGTCAATGCTCATTGGTCAGTTTAATTGGGCAGCCAAACATTTAGAGAGAAAAAAAATTAGAAGATCGCCAACTTCAATTATACAGTCACAGCAATGTTATGTGAATTTTCAACATCTTGTGCTTGCCCTCCCATCCTTCCCTGTATTTTGTTCGTATTCACTTGGTTAATTTAATCAAATGATATGAATTTACAATTCAAAGATCATTGACTAGAGTCTTTGTCAGATACTGGATCTATGTATACTATACATTTCCATTGATGTTGTATGTTGTAATCTTTTGGTTCCGACAATATAAAGTATATTGTCATTTTGGCGGATGATTTTTTCTTCCGCTCACCTTTGCTTATATTTTACAGACATTTTAATTTGTTTGGAGAAATAATTGGATTTTTTTGAAATCATGTGTTACTCAGATCAAAAATTAGTAAAAGACGTTTTTATCCAAATTTTTCAGAATATGAATAAAAATTGCGGCCACTTCCTAAAAAGTGAGCCAATTTATCGCCACTCACAAATGATTTGGTGTTATTGTTTTGTAGAATTGATAAGACATATAAGCAAACAGAGCTTCACAACATGGAGATAGTTATAATCACTTTACAGATACATGTACAATTCTATAGAAGGTATTGGGAGGAGGTCAAGAAACAGCTCATGAACATTTAAGATCATCAGCACAGTATTTAGGTTTTGCAGTAAAAGCAAAAAAGATATACATAGTCTTCAGATCGCTCGCGCTCGGTACACTGTATGGGTATATCATTTTCTAAGTCAGATATATACAATCGCCAGGTCACACACGATTGGTATGGGAATAAAAACTACAGAGTCAGATATAGATGATATCTTACAATGTCTTCATTAATGCCTGCGCACTCGTGAAACATATTTGGTATTACTAAGGAAACTGTTAGATAATCTGTTTATTATATTTTTTATGAAAACCTTCTTCGGAGTTCGAAGTGAAACATCAAGCCGGCAATGCTTGATATTGATCTGTTTACCAATAGCATGTTTAGACATCCCTACCCGACAAAATATAGTCCTCTCTGCAAATATTTTAATGAAATGTAAAAAGACTCATAATTAGATTCCTGTGATTACTTATTAAAATAAAGTAAGTACTCTAGTTCATATCGGATATGTCAATTGAAGTTAAAACGGTTCGCATAAACAGGGTTAAATCTCTGTTGGAGCTTCCATTACACAGGCCTTGAATTAAATAAAGTTATCAAAATCAGATTAACTTTTATCTGGTCGTTATTAAATTGCTCGTACCATTTTTTCATACCAGAATATTTCATTATAAAACTTACAATATATTTTTAGTCAGGCTTTATTGGGTTGTTTCAGGTACTGTTTTTGTCATTGTGTATCGCATTCGTGATCAGATCATGTTCTTGTGTTTTCTATTTTTGCATTCGTTAAGTTAAGAAATTTCAGCAGAAATCTTTAAAAATGCTTACTACGACGCTTAGTTTCAGACAGAGGTCTCCTCATCTACAGTCAGCTGTATAATATATACTAGAGTACCACGTGATTATTAAGACAATTAATCAACACAAAATTGAAATAGAAATATTTATTTACAGAATGGCACTAAGTTATCACAAAGTAATGATGAAACCTTCTTTACATCTTATATTCTTCTAAAAAGACATCACGACTGTATAACGCAATAGTTTGGTTAATCAATTGTCTGTCACCACAAACTATTTATTTGTATTGCAGTTATAAACACGTATTGCTAACTATTTACTTTGATAAAAACTTCCAAGATTGATTTGCTACTGTGTTCTATAACATTTATATACTAGGAATCAATAACTATCGGGTGAATGTTAAATAAAACTGAATAATTACATTCATTGAAATGTTTGTCAACAACAATTATATAGTAGAAATATATGTCAAGGTAGATGGTTATATTATTTAATAACATAGCAATAATGTTTGTATATACAAAATCTTAAAAAACAACAAATGTCTGCGTGCATGTAATATTATGCATACCTTCGTATAGTTTGGCTGTTCTCCCAAAGTTAGACTTTTTTAAGGTTATATCGTATACACTTCCCTTCAAACCGAAAAGAAAAAAATACAACACCAACAGTGATGACGTCGCATACCATTGATAAAAGTTGCGCAAGACCACGAGATTATAGCACAATCTTGTTTTGAGCTGAAAATCATCTTTATATTTATTAGAAAAATAGAAATTCATAAACTAGGCACTTAAGTGTTTTATTTAATAATAAGGAATAAGACGGATCGTTTGAGGTTGTATAGTAAACATTGAAACAACTGTGTGTATTTACATGCATAAGTAACATCGGTATTATCTTATCAACCCTTAAACAATCTAGGTTGTTCCCCTTATATGGTAAACAGAAGGGACCGAACCATTTTACCGTCACTATATCTCTTTAAGAATAACCCGAAATTAAACATATCTTAGTCTACATATTAAGTAGAATCATACAAAATAAGTTTACGCAAAACTTGTCAATAATGTAGTTGTGACAAACACTGATATACATTCTATAAAGTTTATGTACAAGAACCTGGATTAAGACGACTCCAAAGTAAAGTTAGAAACAACAGGCATAAAAAGGAATCATTACGAATAAAAGCCATTTTTTTGTTTTCTAAATCTTATGACCATGTTTATGTGATTACATTTGTTTAAGAAAATGAGTGTATTACCGTTTATATATTGTAATTAGAATAACGACAAGTTAAACTTTATCAATTACTATAAGTATAACCATATAAAGTTCAGTTTCAAGCTGTAATTCCAGGAGAATATGATACGCTTGATAACCTTTTTTTATCGAATACGATTACTGTTGTGCTCTCTTATCTCTCTCTCTATATATATATCCGTATGTGAATCAATCGAAAGGCACTTCTTGGAATCAATGCACATCGATCATCAACCATTATTTGAAGTGTACAGTTAGAAATGAAAAAACACCAAGCTACTATACTCTATATTGTCATGACAAATCTGATTTATCTCGAATATAATCCGTTCATATAACAGTCGTTGGTATATCTAGAAAGTCCTTCCCCCATATGAGAATCTCTACTGATTCTGACTTTTGTAACAGCTGTAGGATGTCTCGTGCTTTCATTTCGGTAAACTGAGAAGGAAACGTCTCCTAAAGCGTTGTGCTATTCTGCTCCATCTGCAACATTAAATAAAGTACCGTACAGTGACAAACGCTATATATATATTCAGTAGCATAATGATAGTTTGATGTAGTGTGTCTCAGTACTATACAGTGACAAACGCTATATATATTCAGTAGCATAAGGATAGTTTGATGTAGCCTGTCTCAGTACTATACAGTGACAAACGCTATAGATAGTCAGTGACATGGTGATAGTTTGATGTAGTGTGTCTCAGTACTATACAGTGACAAACGCTATAAATATTCAGTAGCATAATGATAGTTTGATGTAGTGTGTCTCAGTACTATACATTGACAAACGCTATAGATATTCAGTAGCATAAGGATAGTTTGATGTAGTGTATCTCAGTACTATACAGTGACAAACGCTAGATATTCAGTTGCATAATGATAGTTTTATGTAGTGTGTCTCAGTACTATACAGTGACAAACGCTATAGATATTCAGTATCATAATGATAGTTTGATGTAGTGTGTCTCAGTACCATACAGTGACAAACGCTATAGATATTCAGTAGCATAATGATAGTTTGATGTAGTGTGTCTTAGTACCGTACAGTGACAAACGGGATAGATATTCAGTTGAGTTCAGTAGAAAAAGATTGAAGCAATTAGCTGCAGAAGATAGTTTGATATGTATTTGAGTGGATTAGGTAAAGTATGTATTTGCTTAATAAACGTGATGTATTTGGAAAGAAGTTTACATATAACTCTTAAATATCAGCTAACATTTATTCCTCACCTTCTGTATTTCCCTATTTGTTTAATTCCATTTGTATATAACTAGTACATGCACTACTTGACGAATTCTCAAAAGCAAAATATTTTTAAACAAGAAGGGCAAATGCTGTATGTTTTGTAGACGCCAAATAACAATCAATGTTCATACATTCTGTTCCATAGGCTTAATGTTTTGCTTTAATCGGTCCTATGATACACACCATCATTAAGGTGGGAATATTCATAATTAAGTCTAACTGTAATTTGATTACTTTAAACCTACTTTGCTGTTAAGCGTTGATACTGTTGTTCGATAACTGGACTGGATGACTGTCCAGTTTGCCGGATATAACCATTCTGTGGCGGTCGATTATGTCCCGGTTTGGTCGTATCTGCCACACCCGAAGGAACCCAAGGTAGATCACAGGAGGTTGCGGTCCAACGTTTTGTTGAGGTGGTCCTTGTGTCTGGTTGTCAGACTCTGTAGGGCACATCAGACAAAAATGTTTGTTATTAATCGAATTTATGATTAGCATACCTCTCATTAACAATTGAATGTATACGTCTGGATATTCCTTTTCAAAATATTGCTTTCAACAAAAAAACAAAAAAAAAACACTTACAATTCTAGAAAGTTAGAAAGATTGTACATGTACAACTGCGAGCTTCAACTTCAATGGCCATCCCTGATTTTTGACGTATTCAGCGCTAATGCTATTGCAATGACAAAAGACGGGTTAATCAGGAAGTTACAGATATTCCAGCAGGTCAGCAACCAAGCATCCAGTATCTCAACATTAGAAACATTGAAGTCTTGTGCCGTGACTACAAAACTATCATTGTTGATTTCTACAACCAATTTACACATTGCACACAGGCAGGCACTTGAAATCAAAACGTTATCGAGTATCTCGATAACACATTTAAACATTGCCAAGAAGTTGAACGGGAAAATTACATATTGTCCAAAGATTTGAATACCAAACAATGTATAGACATTATAAATATATATATATATATTTATATAAACTTTACGTGAATCGGTGATTTACAAAATTAGTTGTATTAAATATGTGATGTACCAAATTATAGAAAGAGGTGGATGCTGTAGTAAACAAGCAAAGATGAAGTTGTATGTTACGAACACAAATGTGTAGTTGTACTTTCTACATGCAATGCATAACACCATTAAAGTTGTGTGTATCGTGCAGAAGCGAAGTTAAAAACAGTGTCACATACTTATAGTAGCATGTGTAGTTTACATATCATGCGATAGCTGCACCTGTGTTGCAAAAGTGGAGTTTTTATTGATATCTATAATGTTGAAACAAACTTGTGTTTATACAAAATGTAGGTGATGTCATATCTATTAAAAGGTAAGTTACAGCTGTGAAATAAAAGCAAAATTGAGAATATATTTGTCATGTAGAAAACAGTGTGTGAATGAGTTATGTACAAATAGTGTGCATGGATCATGAGCAGGCAAGCATTAACTTGTGTTGGACACAGACACATTTGTAGCTGCTAATTTAAGTTATTTTAAGCATATATACATTATGGGAGTTTTCTCCCCTAATCCCACAGAGATGGATTGTGCTTATGTGGTGCTGCAAAAGTAAGGATATAGTATCAACGTGTACACAACTACAATATAGGAAATGTATGTACATGTTCACTTTTTATTAACTGTACGTGTACACAATACCACTACAGTTCAAAACATTTATGTACATGTACACTTTTTAAAAACTGTACATACACAATACAACTAAAACATGTACACTTCAAAAGAAAATACCTGTTCATGTACACAAAACAAATACAAGTGCTATTAACATTCCTTAACGGTTCGGGTCAACTTTGATATTCCACATGTGTCTGATACGGCTATTAATAAACGACAAGGACATAACTATTATATTATAGATTCCCAAACAGCTGTCACACACAATTATAGACGGTCAAAATCACCCCGGACAACACTTAGAAATTTTAAGCAAGTAAGAAACCCAAAAATGTCGTTGTACGAAAAGTAAGCTGCAGCCCTCGTTTCATTTTTCCAAATATAATGGATCAAAAAAAAATTAAAAACTTGATACATAATACATCAATGGTAGCCTAATATTGCTAATATTCCTTTTCCTGTATATATTGTTGTGATTCTCTATGAAAGCTGATGTTACAGACATTTCATCAGAGGTCAGACGTATCCAGATGTATGTATAGGAATACAGTAGACCAATAAGAAGTATACCAAAAATCATATATTTTGTTGTTGGTGGAATAGTTGGAGACAAAATAAATCATGTCATTTGCTAATATTTATAAAGAAACATAATTTTAACTCAATTATCCAAAATATCCAATATGAAGTGTCCGATGTGACATTTTCATAAGTTTGAAGGCTATTGCCTTTGATATAAAACACTGGTTATTACTCTCTGAACAAACTAAGTAAAACATTTTTTACAATTAGTATAATATCAAAATTGACTCTAGTACTCAACTATTCACACTTCAATACAACGTTCTACTCTATGACTCCAATCCATAAATGAGATGATGCCCACATTGATATGAGTATAACGATGGTACATGTCTGTTATAGTTCTTTCCAATTAAAACCTGGTCATAAGACAAATCAACACACTACACGCATGCATCTTGCACACAGGGGAGCTGTTAATAGGACGTTAAACAAAATCAATCAAACAAACAAGCAAACAAAAACAATGTTAAGAAAACTAAACACCTGATAATTACCAGTGTCAAACTTTTCTAGTATATCCATTTTCATGTAATGAGATTAAGTCGTCTTCAAGCATTAACTGGTGAAATATTTTGCACAGTCTAGGCAGCAAAACAGTATGGTGACTTCTATTGCCTCTTCGCTGGATTGTTAAACATCACCTTCAGTTTCTTATTTAAATTTACAGCTGCATCAGGCACGTGTGAAAAGTTGACACGAACCGTTCAGGAATGTTAATAGCTATTTTCGTTGTTTTGTGTACATGTACAGTTTTTAGAAAGTGTACATGTACATAAACTTGTTAAATTTTAGTTGTATTGTGTACATAAACATAATGTATATTGTAGTTGTCTTTTATACATGTACATATTTTAAAAAGTGTGCATGTGCATATTGTAGTGTTTTGTATACATGTACAGTTTTTTTTAAAGTATACCTGTACATAAATGTCTTATATTGCAGTTGAATTGTATGAATAAACAGTTTTTAAATTTGAACATGCATATAAATGATATATATTGTAGTTGTCTTGTGTACATGTACATACATAATGTATATTGTAGTTGTCTTGTGTACATGTACAGATTATTTATTGTATGCATAAATAGTTTTAAATTTGTACATATACATTAATGATTTATATTGTAGTGGTCTTGTGGCTTATTGCCAGGGCCTTTAGAGTAAAGAGAAAATACGTTTTTGTGTACCTAAGAGACAAGAAGTATCATACTTATTGTTTGCAGGACACCCATTTTACACTAGATCAGGAAAAATACCATAAGAAATGAGTGGGGATATGACACTTATTTTAGTTTTTTAAATCAAATTCACGTGGTATCGCTATTCTTTTAAATTCTAACTTTGAAAGTAAAGTGCTCAAAGGAAAGAAAGTTTTGAAAGGAAATTTCCTTGCTCGTGATATTACCATTGAGGGTTCAAGAACAACACTAATTGCTCTGTACGGCCCAAATCAAGATAACCCAGATTTTTATAACGTTTCAGATACTATTGATAGTTTTGGGAATGATAATAGGATTAGATGTTGGGATTTTAACTTAGTATTGAAGCCAAAGTTAGACTATGATCGTTTATACAGAAATATTAACAATGTTGCTGCTAGAGACAAGGTTTTAGAATTTAATGAATATTATAATCTTATTGACATATACAGGGAGCATCACCAGGATAATAAGAGCTTTACTTGACGAAGAAGTAATCCAATAAAACAGGCCAGATTCATTTTTTCCTAATTTCAGACAATCTTTTATCCAGTATAAAAAAAATCAAGCATTGAACCGGGTTACAGATCAGATCATTCAGTCCCAGTTTTAACTTTGAAAATTGATGAATTTAAGAAAGGGAAAGGCTTACGGAAACACAATTCTTTATTACTTGAACATGAATACCATGATATGGTAAAAAATTGCATCGAGAACATTAAGTTACAATATTGTCTTCCAGTGTATAATTTTAACTCATTAGCACTTATTCCCAATAGCGATATTCAGTTTTTAATCAATGATCAACTATTTTTAGAAATATTGTTAATGGAAATCAGAGGCAAATCTATATCTAATGCATCTTACAGGAAAAAGCAACAGAACTTAAGTGAAGAAGACCTTCAGAAATCTATAGAAATTTTAGAAGATAGTATAAACCCAGACCAGGAAGAATAAGGAGATAAAAAGGGAGTTAGAATGTATACGATTGAAAAAAAATAGAGGTAGTATTATTAGATCAAGAGCAGCAAAATGGATAGAAGAGGGAGAGAAACCTACGTCTTATTTTTTTTATTTGGAAAACAGAAACTTTGCTTCCAAATTTATTCCACAAATTCAGAAAGAGAACAATAAAATTATTACAAAGCAGAAAAATATTTTTAAAGAAGTACAATCATTCTATGCAGACTTAAATAGACATAGGGATGTTGATATTACTGATTTAGATGTTCATCTTCGTGAACCTGTTCATGAGAAAAAATGAAGCAATAAACTATCAAAATCAATAGGAACAGATAAATCTGTATTTTGTCTGCCAGTGCTTTCGTCACGTTCAGAACAGTCTATATTGGAATATGTATATAATTATAATAAAGGTATGCACATAGAGTTTTGATTAATATGTTGGCTAAATTAACCCTGTCACGCACCTACTGTATTTTTTTTTGGTAGAAATGCATATGACTGTGAGTAGAATGTATGGCTTGGTAAGACATGCAATTATGTTTCTATACTCAAATTTCATTAAACCATTAAGCTTCAATACATTATATTTACCATCGTATGGCATTGTCACTATTTAACCCTACTAAATTCAGTTGGCATTCATATAGGCTATGAATACCATGAACAGATTGGTAACGTCATCTTTATTACGACGTCATAATTGTTACGTTGGAAACCACTGATCCTCCCTGGGCGATGGCTGTTCTATTCATCAGCCAGGCATACACGAAACATACATTATTTGAACTAAATGCTGAATAATAATAAGTGTAATTGAATTTTATTTGAGACGAACAGCTTCAAAAAATGGTAAATATAAGTATTGAACTGTTTTGAGTTGGCGTTCATAGGCAGTATGAACTCCAACTGGACAAAGGCGAATTCAATGAAGCACGCTGAAAGCAGTTCAATGCTTAAATGAATTGCCAAGGATTGCGCCAAAGCGCTTCTAGGGTAGCAGAGTACAGTAGCGTACGGTGGCCATGGGTGATTTTGTACAATGAATAACCCCTGTAATATTACATGTATCAAAAGTTTAAAAAAATAGTCAGCTCTAAAATTGGCATATATTTTTGTACTCAGCACATGTGTAAATATTGTGAAAAATCCAGTTTGACGACCTATGCTAAAACGTGAGTATCTGTGACCGAGTAGGTGATATTTTATTTAAGACAAGTTTTAAGAAAAACAATACTACTTGTGTGGGTCAAATTTTGGGTTAAAAATCATGTTTTTTTGCATTTTTTGGCGTTTTTTGATGCGGTAACCATGGTTTTTACAAGTCCCAAATCTAGGGAAATCATTTTTTGAAAAATATTCATTCTTCTAAAAAAAACTTATTCAAAATGTAGTTTATAAATATATAGAAATATGTAGGTGTGTTGTGCAGGAAGAATCCGCTATCCATGTTTATCCGAGAGATGCCCTTTATTTTTAGGGTCAAGCCATTTCTACTGTACTCTGCTACCTAGATTTCAGTTTTAGGCATGTTTATGGACCCTTCTAGAGAGGCTTTACACTTTAAGCGAAAAACGTATTTCTGTGTTAGACCATGCCTGCTTATGATATAGAAAACAAAAACCAAAATTTAACTATTCATTGACTCAATGGGGGTTTTGCTCCCCCTCCCTCCTCCTTACCCCAACCGAGACTCCGACACTAGACTCCCCTTCCTAACAGTGTATCTCAAATTCCTTCAAACTTTCCTTCATAAAGGCACTGTAAATGATATTCAGTCGAAATTTAACGTCAGTATCTTTCTTAATCACGAATACAACACTAAATCTTATAACAGACACAATCACATCCGAACGACATATATAGAATCACATTTGTTGTCACACGGACATAACATAGACAATGCATTATTGTACATGAAGGTTACGACTTCTGATTACACACTTTTTCAGGTCACAAATATATCACCTTCATCTTTGTTTTTGAATCACAGATACACAATCTTTGATTGTAGATCTCTTTTAAACCTTCATCTGTAGTTGCACATGTAACATACATCAGCTTAAATTTTCATCGTATACATACCCACGTGGACCACCATCTTGCAAACAGAACAGGAAGTTACGTTTGATGAAATGGCGTCTTTGATCAAGGGATTGGTATAAAATTTATTATTAATTTCTGTTTGCAAAAAATTGCTAATTCAAAATTCGTTTCATTAAGAAGTATATATTGCATGTAAATCAAATGACACCCTTAAAATCGATTAGATACTGAAAATAGATATGTTCTAAAGGAAGTTTACGTAGTTGATAATAACATGTCTAGAAGCTTTTCGGGAAAGCAGGCGAAAAATAAAGCTAGGACCTAAACAGCACAATATCCGGGCCTTTCAGTGAGAAGTAACATGTATAGCCCTACCATGTTGACCGCAAACACAGTGTCAGCAAGTCTGGTTTCACACTTGCTTGTAGCTTTGAATTTTCACATAACATCGCAATCAAAAATTAGAAGTATCATAATTGATAAATATATTGGGATATTTCTGTTCACAATTTGATTTCATTAAAAAGAGCAGGTTTAATTAGAGCATGCAGTAAACGTAAAATAAATACTCTTTTTAATGATGTTTAGGATGTTGTTTGTAAGATATTATTGATTCAGAATGAATACCGATTCTTGTTTTCTAACGATGTTAGGTAAATAAAGCAAGAATTTATATTCTCCCCTCGACTGGAAAGACATATTTTTCGTTATAGAAGTTGACCGACGACTGTCGCTAAAACTTATAGTTGTGCAGTTAAGAATTTCTTCATTACTGATTAAGAAACGCTAAAAAAACATTGTCTTTTGACATTTTCTCGACATGAATTGTTCATAAGGAGTATCAAATTATATTATCATAAATCATTTTGTGAAAAGGTTATAAAAAAGTTCCAGAGGTAAAAATAAGTATATCTCTAATTGTGTCCGGGCAGATATCGTAATGTTCGGTTAAACAAATAAAAAAAATCGAACAAAAGAATAAGCATCAATGCCATTATGGTAAACAGTACAGCATTGCTTATGTTCTGATAATAGTAGTTAGTAAATCAAGTTTATACAAACGGAAGAAAAAACGGTACAAATTGGCTTATCTGCAACTTATAACATATGGGCCAAAAATCAATAAATAATTACCTTTCGTGAATAAGTAAGATTTGTATCTTCAACATAGTCCACATGTCCACTCTTCATAACAGAAAGAACGAGAAGCAAATGACTAAGAGTATAATACTAAACAAGAACAGGAAAGCATTTGTTTGTTTTAGATAATATTTTGTAACCTGTTTCGCGTATGTGCATAATCAGATAATAACACGGATGTTGCAGACAGACTAATTTCCTGCTACATGTCACGTGCATTGTGTGTACACACGATCTTCGGAAGTTAAATGACAACCTTTTGAATTGTCCAAAGTTTCGTTTCCTTAACTTCTTTTTGAATATGCCTAGACAAGGACATTTAGATAAGTTTTTCACAAACATGATGTATACCCCAAATATCAAAAAAGAGAGTATATATCCCATGCGAGCTGAACAATTATATTGTTATAAAACACAATTTGGGCTTGTGTACAATTGTATAAGTCACTATCTGAAGCAATATGAATATTTAATTCTTAAAAGCAAAGTTCATTCACCAGCTAATGACTGTGGTATAACTTATGGTATACGCCTAAGTAATAATATTAAAGTACGTGTGTGCATATGTACATGATTACACATTCAAGAGACAAAAACGTACTGACAAAGTATCATATACACCACCATAGTCTCGATTAGACATAGATTTGACGTAATATCTGACATCCTTATGACGTCGGTATATTTACGTATTTTACGTCAAATATTGGTCAGTAACGTACTGACGTGAATTTGACGTTAATACGAGTTATAATTACTGCTGGGTTGTGATCAGTTTTCCTATCGCTACTTAGATACCAAAATATATCTGTCACACAATAACACAAAGCACTCAGCTTTAACTGGGAATCCAATATGTTCTGTTATAGTTCGTCCGGACTTAACGTTATGTGGATCGCAGGTGCATTGATATTAACCAGTTTTTCGGGCTTAGGGCTACAATATTGAGCGTCTAATAAACGAGATTGTAGCAAATATGGTTGATAATAAATGAAGAAAATCAATCATTCACTACCTTCATTCACCTACACTCAACCACTTTCAGAGTCAGGGCTCAATATTCGAAGTAGTCTGTAGTCAGTACAAGTTAATGTGGGCGTCATCGACAAACAATCATAGTCCTTCTAGAGGCAAGTGTTGGAGTAGGTTAGATAAAAACTTCCTCCCCGCAACAATCTGACAGGTTACATGTACTATAATCTATATATTGAGATGAGTGGTCTCCCTTTGGCCTATTAATTCACAATATATATATATGAATAAATGATGTGATCATCTAAATAGTACACTAGTATAAGGGAGATGAACGACACAGTTTTATTAGACGAAGGACAGCTATCATCGTTTTCGTATAGAGATGGATTGTTGTACATAGACAAAACAGACTGAGGCGTCACAACATATTAACATCACAATTGACGATATCCTTTGCTGGTTAATTTTCACACTTACCCATGTTCTTAATTGGTCAGGTTAGTGTGAAAATAACAAAAAGTATCGTTTGTCAAAGTACGAAAGTATCAATTATATCTTTACTGCGACATCATTAATTTCAATGGTAAAATTGTTACAAAATATTTGCGACATAATACAATTGTACCTCAAGTCAAAAGAGTGATTACCCCTTCACCAGTTGAAAACTCACCCATGGCTTCTTAAAATATCATGGCGTTTCAAAAAAACTGTTTGTTTGCTCTTCTCATATAGCATTCTACAATTCATTTTTTCTCTTTGTGAGATTTTTAGGTTATATCAAGATTGAATTCGTTTAATCGTTCACGATCTTGGATCCTCTTCCTATAAAACTTTCTGTAATTCATGTTTTCTTTTGAGACATCAACGATTGAAATCGTTTAATCGTTCACGAATGAGAGTGATGATGAGAAAAATGTTATATGCCTTTGTTGGTGTCACAAGGGTTGTTGAGTGGATGTCAGTACAAATTGTGAATACTGTGTTTCATTAATACATTGACAGACATTTTTACATTCCTTTTTATGCTCCACCAAGATTTCTTAATCCACTTTAGATGCGTATTAGACTCATTCCACAGGTAAACATATTCTGTTTAAACTATATCGTTTCCAACATTTGCGACTGTGGTTTTATAATAAAATGGCATTACAGGTGTGACATAGATATTTGCATTCATGCCCTCATCTATCTGGTCCAGTCTATCCCTTGTAAACTCGGTCTCTACTATCCTTTCTCTACCCTCGCCAAAACACAGCTTTTAAGACACTTACCACGTGTTATTTTTCCAAAAATTTCGTCTGTTGCGGTTAATTATAGGCTTATTAAATTACAGTAACAGACTAAAGCCTGGTCGTATTCCAGCTTCACTAGTATTGTCACCTAAACGTCCTCAGCATGGGTAAAGCCTTGCTGTAAAGATCAACAAACATCATGTACTTGACACACAGGATTTATTTCCATAACGACAAAAGTAAAGACATGTACAATCATAAAACCATTTGTTTAAAAACGAAAATAGGGTGTACTAATATGGTAGTAACTAGTCATTGACTTGACAAATCATTTTATTTTTAAAAGTATTTGTCATTAATTTGGAGTGCATTTTGTGAATAGTAATATTCCTACTTTGAGTAATATGATAATCAGTGCTCATAATTATGTCCCCGACCATTTCATAGAGAACATAGAGAGATTCTTCTTAGCCATGATCGCTTACCGCCGTAAAAACGTATCGAAATATGGTACATAAATGCCACGTTTATCAATTTGTTTTAAGATATGTAAAATTGCCAACGAGGAGGGAGGGATTTATGTCATTGTATGAATAAATACACAATATGATGATTGCATCGACACAAACACATTTCCAGAGAAAATAAATTATGAGATAAATTTAGATACAATCATGTTCTATAGAAACAAACCACTAAATAAAACTGTTGTCAACAACAATTCTGTTACGTATACTGACTGTATATAATTAGCACGCAACGAGTGACGCTACCAATCAATAAATCAATTGATCAATCGATACGTATCTTTTCGAAATAGGCAAAAATTTGCTAATTTGAAGCAAAAAAAATTATCATATCTATATAATTTGTTTAATGAAACATTCAATTGATTTTGCGATTAGATATGACTCGCTTTACCTTAATAATTTTTGCATATTCTCAACTCACACTTTTCGCCCAAAACTCGCACAATGCTTTTTTAAGTGACTTTGGACGTTACGTGTTAACTGTGTGTTCATATTACAATTGCAAAAATAAATGTCTACAGCAATTATTTCATATAAAATTAAAACAAATCTCAATTAATTTATGCATGAAATATTTGATAGGAATGTTTGTTGTGACTTCAACTTTAATAAAATAAAAACATTGTTAGACACCACAGCATTAAGTTAAAGATAGCAAAAAGATCAGTAAGATGAACGTAAAACACACACAGGTGAATACACCATTAAATACAGGTAATAGATACAGCATGCTAAACATACTACATCATACAGCTGTTTCGTCCATTCTAGGGCTCATCGGCGATGCAGGGAGCCAAACAGTTGGCAAATAAATCAGAGGAAGGTATGTATCAGATATAGATTTCTACTCACACTAAGAGAGTAAGTTATAGAAGTACAGGGAGTAGCATTTGACTATTACCAAGGTAAGTACTAATAGAAAAACAAATGAGTTAAATAGAACAATATGACTCTGACAGGAACTTATATAGTTCTAACGAGTTTAATACAACTATCACTCTGGTAAGTACTAATAAAAGTACTAAAAAGTAAAATAGAACTGTGACTCAGATAGGGTTTTATATAAGTACTAGAAGGTAGAAGAGGAAATGCAAATGAGAACAGTGGCACCTTTACATTAATGGGGCTTTTTTTCGGGAATAGCTGTCAACTTGTTATACATTAATGTTATTACCAATCAGCCCTCACAATATACTTTAGTTATAATATTTCTTCTCGCTTTAACTATTTGGTCATTACATAGAAAGTTGAATAAGATTGTACTGAGTGAGAAAATGTAGCTTCGATAGGACAATGCGATGAATAATTGACTAAGAAACTAATGAAATTAAACAAAATAAGTCTTAATAAGGGATCTTTTGCATAAATGTTTTTGTCAAAGTTTAATGTAGGTATTAATAGGTAATTATCACTCCATAAATGTGAAATAGTTCCTTACACACTGTAAGTCTAAATTTGGTAAGAAAGCTAAAATTCGTAATTATATCCCTTTGTCTGTTAGTTAGGTGGTGGTTATGGCAGTTAATAAGAAATGTTTTGTGATAAGCCCTTTTGATTATAGTGTATCAGTAGTTGTATATAGTATCTATGCTTATGTTTTATCAGTATTAGCTAGTACTCTGTATCAATACATATTGTTTCCAGATCTACGAACAATAATTGATCAGGATGGCTGCTGTTACATAAGGTCTTCGAATTGTACCACATCAAAATCAGGTTTTTTCAAACTTGACTCCTGAATATTTTTATGTATAAAGCGTTCTCATCAAATTTAAAGTTACTAGGTTATGTAATGTTATAAAGCATTAAAACAAGCAATTAGAAATATGTTGTCTGACCCACTAGAAATAATCGTTAAGAGCAGTGGATAATTGTCCTTGTGTTCGTTGTTTATCAGTAGAAGTTTCTCCCAGTAACAGATAAGAAGAACCAGGAATTCGATGTTGTAGAGACATGGCCGTAATAAGTTTTCTCGGGATTGCTTTTCCTCTGCATTTCCTGTTAACCTACAAAATGAATACTCCTGTAGACCGCTTTACATAATAAACGTCAACCATACTTTGGTATTGTCTCTTAACCAATTAGATGTCTACTACCAAGCCTGTTCATCACTCATCGGTGGATTTTACTTTGTTTTTATTGGGATGCAACATATTAAAGTATGACAGGATCATACCTTAGATAAGATGTTGCTTTACGGCAAAGCTGTGTTTCATGTATTAAGATTAGCTTGGTATTGGGTTTGTGTGTAATATTTGTTATCTGTAATGCTAGTGTTATTTACGGTATGTGATATTCAATTGTGAATATTTCAGGTGAGAATTATAATGGTACATTGAATTATTG